TTAATGAAAATTAAATTTTGAGTAATTTATTATTTACCTATTTAAGTATAGGAGATACGAAAACGTGTTGAAAGTAAAATATATAGCTCAAGGCAGGGGCGCACCCTTAAGATATATCACCAGAAAATACAGAAAATTCCCATCAGATAATACGCTCTTTAAAATACATTTATGCATGTTTTTTGTACAGTAGTATGTATTAAATAAATAAAGTTTTTACACAAAATTGACAAAGAACTCAAACATTTTTAACCGACTTCAAATAAAATTGGTGGTTATCAATTCTTCGGAATATTGTTTTCTTTTTTTACCGCATAACTTTGGACCACTTCAACCAATTTCAATAATTCATTTTCTTTTTATCTTTTTTATCGGAAAGATGGTACCTCAAGGGTCGCCCCATAATTTGGTTAGAATCTGATCATTTGATCATGAAAAAATTAACGGTCCTCCTAAATTTGTATATGAGAATTGAAGTGGGTTGTGTTTTTTACTAGAAAATTACTTGTTTAATAAAAAGTTCTATAAACACAAGATGCGCTCAACTGTCAAAAGCAATAAAAAATGTTAAAAAAAGAATTTTAATACGAATAAATTAATTCCGTGAAATTTTTACATTTTTGTGTTCATTTTCTTCGATTTCTGCTTTTTGGGTTTCGATAGATGGTGAATTTTCAGGATTGCCTCATTTTTTAATGTTTCGAATACCGAAAAAATTAACTGAGCTTGTATTTTTATTAAATAGCTCATTTTGGTGGAACGAACAGTGTTAAGAACTAAACTCTTCTAGGCTGTATAACGCAACAGTAAGTGAGTACGCATTGCATATTTTTAGGACAATGTTTTCATTCGCAGTTAAATTTTTAAGAGCTGGAAAAGAATTTTTCTTCAATCAAAATTTCTTAAAACAGTTTGCAGATCTCAAGAAAAAAACAGCTCTTATATTTATTCCTTCAATGTAATTTACACCAAACGCTTTTTTAAGCAACAGATATAATAAAAAAATATTTCTTGTGATTTGTCTTGAGAGCAGGATTCTAAACTTTAAGATACAGTTTGTATTTAAGGCTATAAGCTTTATGCGGGTTCGAACCCCAAAACCCACCCCTTGTGTGCGCTTATGGCCCAAGAATACAGCCTATTATGAAATTCAATTAATTTTTTCACCTAAACTCGAATGGTCAATTGCATATGTACTTTTGTATGTATGTCTTTCTGTTTTTGTCAACATAATAACAGATTACCATTAGTAGATGGTGTTTCTACAATATTCTGCAATATTAATGTGCTTTTATGTACATACTAGGAGTGCCAGTTACTGTCGAAATTCGACCATTCTTCTAGTTTTTAAGACCCTTGGAGAGGTTTTCTAACTTAGCACGTCGTTTAACTTAATTAGTAGTACGATACAATTCGATAAGCAGTGATAGCTCGATAAACTTTTATAACCTTGAAATTTCGATAACTCGATATATTTTGAGAATATCAAAAACTTTGATTCGATAAATCGACAATTTTCAGTAAATTAATAAATATCGATAAGTTCAAAGAACTCGATGCATATCGATAACTCGATAAATTTTCTTAACTCCATACAAATTCATAATGCAATAAATACCGAGACCTTGATAGATTTCATTAACCTTACAAGTTTCGCTAATCCCATAAATTTTTATAGCTAGATAATTATTCGTAAATTTCGACAACTAATTTACGTTACATATCTATCTATATCTAGTTAATATAATGTTATAAACTTAACTTTATATTTTATTATTTTCTATCTTTATCTCTACCTATACCCTTTTCGTTATAATTATATTTATATTAGTCTATTTTCTTTTAGCATAATTTTTATAATTTCCTTTATCCTAACATTTAACTTTTTTATCTTTCGTATACATACATATTTACCCTCCCCTTTGTCCTTAGAGAAGTTAAGTGTTTAAATTTACCTTGATCTCTGTTTTCATCTTTGCTTTTATCCTCTTCATCCTCTACATATTCACTTAGATGAGGTGAGGTGCGATAATATGTTGTGTTATGTGATATCAGGAAATGCGATGCATATCATGTGATGACATGTCATGTGATACCATATCATATCATGTGATTTAATGTGATGTGATGTCATGTAATGTGATCACGTCATGTGCCAATTATGTCGATAATATACCGATGATAATATTGAAAAATGTACCGATGCAAAATCGATATATTTATCGATAAATACATCGAAACTGTTGATTATTATATCGATAACAATATCGACTTATATCGGTAACAATATCGATTACTACATCGCTAACAATATCGATTATTATAACGACAACAATATCAATTATTATATCGATAACAGTAAAGATTATTATATCGATAACGATATCGATTATTATATTGACAACAATCTCGAGTATTATATCGTTAACAATATCCATCTTCATCCTCGTCTTTTTCTTCACATTTTTGCATATTCCCCTTCACCTTTAACTTAAAGTGTTTAAATTTACCTTCATCTTCATGTTTGCCTTTATCTCTATGCATCGTTGTTTTTGTTTTTATTTTTACCTTCGCCTTTATGCTTCTCCTCATCTATGTACGTACTAACCTTTAATTTTATTCTGGCATTAGGCTTAATCTAAATCTTATTCTTAAACCGATTACACTGGTTTACAGCGAAAATGTTCTATGCATGCCACTATCCAATTCCTATGTAGAATGGCTCGGTGATTCCGAACATCGAGTTAATTTTTTTTTATGGATACGTTTTCGAGATACAAAAAAAAATCAAGTTATTGATGAAGAAAATCGATGGATAAATACGAAATAATGGGTGGCCAAATGGAAATGCGCATAGATTTTTTTAATGAAATACGAACAGTTAAGCGTGTTACTCGGGTGTACGTGGCGTATGAGTAACATTCTTTCGTGCTCAATTTTCATACAAATAATCTTGCGCATTTTTATTTGACCACTCATTATTTCGTATTTATCCATCGATTTTCTTCATCAGTAACAGTACAGGCTTTAGTACAAATGCAAAAATTTGGCACAGACCCTGTTATTTTTTAAATTTTTCCTCTGTAAAAGTTTAATTTTTTCATTAAAAAATAAAAAAGCTGGAATGATTAATTAATTTGTCAGAAACTATAAGCCCTATCGGAAAGTGATGTTTATACGGTTTACGGAGAATTTCATTGGCTTTGATTTTTCGTGTTTTATATTAAAATTTTTAAATTGTTTCGTAGGATATACGTGATTAAAAGGAACCAATTTATGCTTTAAGCTGAATAACGGTAAATTGCGAATATCTCGAAAACGTATCCATAGAAAAAAAATAACTCCATTTTCGGAATCACGGAGCAATTCTACACAGAAATTGGATAGTGGCGTCTGGAGAATAAAAACCAAATTAAAATTTGTGATCCAGTGTTATTAGCACGTTTTTGTTAAATTACTACCATGTGAAAGCATATAAGAAGCACTTGCAACCATTTCCGTCCCAACCATTTTGGTGTGCACCATTTCCGTGGAATTTGCCAATTTACTCCCAACCAACCAACCGCCGATAAAAAGGTTTCCTTCGCAAATTCAATAAATCGTCTTATCCTTTCAGTTGCAATAATTTGTATGCACTCTTCACTGTTTTCATTTTCGTCTTTATCTTTAATTTTGCCTTCACTTTTTTGTCTTAGGCATAGTAATCTTTTCCTGTTTCACGTGAAAAGGCTGTCAAATTGCATATAAAATTTCTTTCTGTGAAATAAAGCATAGCATTCTGTTCCTGTTTCACGTAAAAAAGCTGTAAAAACTATATATATAAAATTAAGTGGCAAAACTTCCTGTTCGCATACTCCTCCTAGACGGCTTGCCCGATATCAAAGAAATTTTCAGGGGTGATTGGGGTCTGTGTGGAGGGTGCACATAAGAAATTTCATGTGTGTATCTTTGCACGTTTTGCAAAAACAAAAAAAAAAAATTAATTCTTTTTGACTTTACGTGTTTTTTTTGGATTTCTATCATTCCTAGACGGCTTGCCCGATTTCAATGAAATTTTCAGCGGTGATTGGGGTCTGTGTGGAGGGTGCACATAAGAAATTTCATGTGTGTATCTTTGCACGTTTTGCAAAAACAAAAAAAACAAATTAATTCTGTTTGGTTTTACGTGTTTTTTTCGGATTTCTATCATTCCGAGACGGCTTGCCCGATTTCAATGAAATTTTCAGGTGTGATTGGGGTCTGTGTGGAGGGTGCACATAAGAAATTTCATGTGTGTTTCTTTGCACGTTTTGCAAAAACAAAAAAAAAATTAATTCTGTTTGGCTTTACGTGTTTTTTTCGGATTTCTATCATTCCTAGACGGCTTGCCCGATTTCAATGAAATTTTCAGGGGTGATTGGGGTCTGTGTGGAGGGTGCACATAAAATGAAATTTTCAGA